GCTTGCTCGGGAAGTAACAGAAAACATATTTTTTACTTTAACAGATACCTGACTATGTATTGTATGGGTCAAGCTACTTTCGTAATAGAAGCAAACATATTGCTGTTAGGCTTCACCTAAGACATTTTTATTTGCTTGTAAAATATTAAGTAAATAAGGAGGAATTTCCCAACAATGAGTTATTAAAGCAGTAGCACAAGCTGCCTCCTGGAGTTGTGGGTGTTCCATCACTAAAGCATTTCAAGCAAAAGGTTGGAAAGCCATTTATCTGGGAAGCCAGAAGATCCTGAGCCTGAGCCAAAGACCTCCAAGATCCCTTCCAACCCCAATTCAACTTTATGCTTCAAAATGTGAAATCTCTGGAGACTTTCATAGGAATTCTTATGACTTAATTGTGATACTTAGGAATAGTTGAGTATTTATATCACAACACATTTCTATTGTTATTTTGTTTTGTTCACATGCCCAAATTCTACAGACATATTTCTCTAAATGTGTTAGTGCCTACAAACAATGGCTCCATACATAAAGAAGAGAATATTCATAGCTCAGAGTTGAACTGTGATGTCCTTGGTGCTCTCTGAGCTTGGTAGTTCATGACAATCATTTTTTTGAATTGAACTCTGATGATGTCAGATGGACAGGTCCATTCGGTATTCACGGCTTCATATATATGGAAGTGTGTTACTATTGGCTTCTTGCAGGGAAGTATTGTTTTTGCATCTCAGGACCTGATGGGTTGTTGTTTTTGCCTGCAAAAGTAGCTTTGTAAATGATAGCTCTTCTTTAATACAAGGCATGCATCACAGGATTTACATCAAACTTTTTAGCCTTTTCCTTTCTAACATAGAAAGCTCAATTTATTAGCAGTGTGTTTGCAACATTTTGTCTTCAGAAAACTGCCATGTCTTCAGTAATGTAACATGGACAATTTTCACTATTGTATTTCTGGCATCATTTTATAAACATTTCAATATTCTATAATATTTATAAATGAATAAGAAGTTGGTCATTGTGGCTGTCCAGCATAGGAATACTGGCAGAATACTTTTTACAATAAATTGATTATATTTTGAAAGGAGTCCATTACAGTCATGGTTTGCAATTCGATGAATTTTCTAATTTTTGTGAAACTCCTCTTTTAACAAGCATTGTTCTTTGACCTGGCTGAGCACCCTTTGAGAATTGCATTGGCCCAAAGAAGGGAAAAAAAAGATAATTTCAGGAAAAAATATTTGCTCCCAGTCCATTCAATATTTCTCTTGATTTGTCTTCATTCTCTCAGTTCTATTGTTACCAAATTATCTAGTGAAATTCATAAAAAATTTTTAAAGCTGATTAAATTGTGCAATGTAGCTTTGCTCCTATTAATAGTCTCCTTTTGCCTGACCTTCTAATTTGAACTGTATTAAAAAGCTAGAAATATATTTAGCTTGACATAAAATAACATGGAATATGGGAAGGACCCAGTACACAATATAGATCCTAACGGCAACCCAAGTCAAGAATGGTCTTTTCAGATTAAAATTGGGTGAAATAGCTAGTATTGTATTCTGGTAAACAGAAACATAATTCAGAACATCACTGAAAGATTCAAGTGAGCTGAAAAAATAAAAATACATCTAATAGACATACGCCAAAGCCTTTACTAAAAGGCAAAAAAAGTACGCAGAGATAAAGAGGCATACTTGGGTTACTGGAAAAGGTTTTGTACGTTATGAGTATGATATGACTGGAAGAAAGGAAAATTCATTTTTATGTACTCTATAATAGTCTTTGCAGCTGGGGAAGAAGAAAAATATTGTGCAATTTCTCTACATACATCATAATTTTGCGCCCGTGTATAGGTTTAGGAGATAGCTGAATAGATAAAGGACGACACACTGCTTAACATTTGTATTTACATTCATTGGAGGGGAAGGAATTACAAGTAAACAGGCATACAATGAGTAATATATAGAGATGAATGTATATAGTACCTAGGAAACAGTGCCAGCTGTTTGTCTAACATATTTGTGGTTCTGTGCCAGAAGCAGCTTAGGAGGCAAAAGCCTTCAGCATGTAACTGATTTAAGGTTTTATCACTTTCAGACAACAGTACAGGTGGGAAGTTTCTAATCAACTAATTAAGGTCATAGGTCTAACTTTGTTAACTTGCTGTTAGCACTTATTTGGGAAGCTCAGATCTATATTCTTCTTCTGGAGGAAAGCTCAGATATGCAAAGGGGAGGGGCAACATTTGACTGTCTGCTGGATGGAGGTCATGAAGACAAAATGGAAAACACATCCTCCTTTGGCTGGATATCTGGTAATTCTACGCCTATGTATAAAGGATGCATAGCTTTCGTATCACAAATGCAGCTAGATAATGCAGAAGCCCAGGATTACCATAGACAATTCACTAACCATTCAGACCTGAAGTTGAAAGAATAGCTTGATTTACTAATAGAAGCAATGTTTGAAAATTCTTTCAACTAGGCCAAATACTGTACAAATCCATATGGTAAGCAGGTCTTTAGGAACTTCACAATTTCTTTCTCTTCATATAAAACCTGAGCTTGTAACAGTTTGAGTTCCAACAACTAACATAATGATTCGCTGTAATGATTCAGTCTACAGTAGATCATTGAAAAAAAAAACCTGAGGCTCTCCGAACATAAAAACAATTAAATGTACTAAAAAAAAAACCCCAATATATCCATATTCTAAATCCACTGAGGGGTAAATATAATTTTCTGCACATATTATATTTTAATTGCAAAACTCTAGCTTTGTTTAAGCTTGAATATTTTTAAGAAAATTGAAGAAAGGTCAGTTTCAAACATATTAAGGCATAAAGCAGCAGGATGTTATTGCTGAATGGAATATTCACCGGTTGATATTCAAATTCAGGCTATAAAATTTAAAGTTAGGCTGGACTGAGTATTTTATTAGCTAAATTCTATTCTCAGTGTAACAAGGGGGAGGATGTCCACCAATCCTTTACAAGAGCCTTCATATCAAAGGTGAAAGGTAATGTAGGAGCTGCAGAAGGAATGCATGAAAATAACTTTTTGTTTTCTCTAGTGGGAATATGTATCTTTCTTTTATGCCACAGAAACAGTGGTTCATGGAAGGGCAAATCTGTAGCCAATCCATCATATTTTTAAGTTAAAAATGTAGAATTCTTCTGAAACATACTCTGATTCTTTGGATGGGCCTAAAACAAAAATTATACTTTAGAATTTAATATTAGTTCTTGCAATTAACAGAAACATGCTAAGTTAATGTATAAAGTACATATTGTAAAATTCGGTAAAGAAACAACAGACTGTTTTAAACAAATAATCCATAATATCTGATTACTACAGGACATAAAAATGCATACAAGTTGGCTTCAGAGAAGCTGGAAAAGCTTTCCTCTTACAGTTCCTTTTTGTATCTTTATGGTTCAAAATAATTTTCTTGTGTTTCATTGAAAGCATAAGACCTATATTGTTTTATAATTGTTTATTATTAAAATGATGATCAAAATATTCATAACATTAAAATATTGTAATATTTATTGTGCTAATGAATATTTAGCTCTAAATCAATATATCATACATTCATCAGCTGTCATGATTAAGGAATTATGGAATAAACCCTTCATAGAAAATATATGAATTTCAAGCAAGTAGCACAAGATCTTTGCCCCTCTAAGTTTATTTTATATATTTACTCAGAATATATATGAAGCTATGGGTTTTATTCACTGGTTCATTTCACAGTTGATGGTTTGCACTAGTGTGGAAAGAATACACTTGTGAATACCAATGATCCCATTTTTAATTTAAACAACACTGCCTGAATACTAAGGCTAAAGTTAGTGTGAGGAACAACATTTTCATGAGATCAACAAAGTATGCATGGGGAATGGGCTCAGCCATCTATATCACAGACATCAGTTTTGGCCCTGAATATTTCTGCAGCAGGATATGCTGCTCCAGAATGGAGTACACATGCAAAGCTAGCTGACATCACTGTCAATGAAGCAGTACACACAGTGGCAGGATGCCCTAAATCCACACCAATTGAGAAAATGTACCCTCTTGCTGGTATTGTTCCACCCAGGATTAGGAGAGAAGTAGCAGCAGATGCTGAGAGAACCAAACAAATGATCTCTGACATCCTCTGCAGCAGGGTATGAATATTTAGCTCTAAATTAATATATCATACATTCACCAGCTGTCATGATCCTCTGAATGCCCCAAACTCATCGACTTAGATCTAGGAAGAGGTTGTATGGTAGGAGCATAAAACTCTATTAGAAGATGGAGGACAGAATTCCTGGAACAAGAAATAACCTCAAAAGAGAACACGGCTGAGGGATTTGATCTCCCGATGTTACTTGGAAGACATTGAGGGTGGGAGTGTCTAAAAGAAAGACCAACATGCTCAGGTGGGGGTTGCTGGCAGATAAAAACATGCAGTATGAAAGTGGGGAGAGGCAGAATCCAGCCCATTTGTTAGCCTGTCAATTACTACCAGTAGAATGGACCAAGAGTGATTTGTTTCTGGTCAAAAAGGTAGCTTCATTTTGGAAGTTTAAGATTAGATCTGGGCACGAAATAAATAAAAATTACTCAGGCCTATTTAGTACAACTTCTCTCCCCATCCCTTGAGGAAGCATTTCTGAAATGGGCGGCGGCACATTTCAAACAGAAGATAAAACCTAATGAAAATTGGTTATCCCTCCTTGTGCAAATTTAGAAAATTTACACTTATAAAGCCAATGCTGGAGTCGGTGAAGTTTCAGATAATTTTAGAAAAATGATTTATATTGTAAAACTGAAATCTACCTGTTAGTTTCTTGATTTTTAAATCCTAAGGTATTTTTGTAAGTTTGCTATATAGAATAGTGATGCTTAAATTAACATTAAAATCATGTTATTATTTACACAACTTTCTCAAATTCGCAGTAAATATACAATTTTGGGTAAAAATCTAGAGGTATTTTCCACTGCAGTTTTTCAAAGGCACTATGCAGGCTTACTCTATAATTTTACAGAATATCTTTTGAAGAAAGTTTGGCTAGAATACATGCACACACACAGAATTGAAGGAATATACTAACTCACTCAAAAAGTTTTACTTTACAATTTAAACCACTACTGTTCCTGTCTAAATCCTGATTTTCATCATCCTTATTCCACCCTTCTTTCATTGGAGTAAGTTCAGGAGCAACCACATCACCATCCTATCAAATAATAATAAAAAAAAGAAATTAAGTTTTGCATTTCAGGTCAACTGTTAAGATATTTTGTCATCTTCTCTCCTGACAATTGTAATAAATATGTGTACATTTAAGGGATAAAATATTACCAGGCCTGACATATCTCTGTGCATGGTAAATCATGATTTTTTAAATTTCACAATGATCTTTTTTTATTGTTAATGAAAATACTGATTTCATGTAAATAACATTTTAATTTCTAGTAAGCTCATTAATATAATTAATATAGCATATGAGCAGGATTCGTGTCTTGCCAATGCTTATTGCAGTAGCCCATTAAAAAGTATATCGTAAAGAATTACACTTTCCAAAATTTTCAGGAGGATGGTACATTATGAGTGTACCCTCATTCACATTTGAACATCTTACCCATGGTTTAGTGAATTGCTTATCCATACACCACTTAACAAAATATTTTGTAGCAGCCTCAATTATCTTTGTATCTTTTTTTTTACAATAAACTCTGATGATCTGCTCTGCAAATTTTTCCGGGAGCAGCTTTGAAACCTTAAAGATAGAAATAATTAAAACATTTAACTTCAGTGACTTTCCTGATCTTTCCCAAGCAGTAAAAAAAGATAATTGAAAACCATTATAAAAGGAGGATCCAATATAAGCAGAGCTGGTGTAGAGGATTCACCCTTTAAAACCAAATATCATTATTGACTTATGACCAGTTGCTTAGCAACTATCCAAAGTTACAAAGAACCCTCCAAAAAGTACTTTTGACCCAGATTTGAAGCAGCAATGGCTGTTCTCCTCCCCAGTCACATATCATATTTTGGGCACTCAGCAACTGGTCCACATTTACGGTTATTTGCACAATCCTACAATCACTTAACCATGATTTGCATTCCCCCCTCCCACCAAGCAACCAGCATTTGCTTCTGATTTCTAGCAAAAAATGGCCATTGAGGACAAAGGATTCACTTAATGATTGCAGGGTTTGCAGTACAACCACAGGGTTCATGTTATAACTGCTATAAAAAACACTGTAAACTCAGATATGATCACATGATAACCTCATGACTTCTGAACATAATCCTGGGCTCAATTATGCTTATAAATCAAGGACTACCTGCAATATAATGGCTATTTTAAAACCAACACAATAAACTGGCAAAACCAACCAATCCCATTTTTACTTACTTGTTCTCTTGTAATTTTAATTGCCTGAGTGATGTCATACTTGCAGTAAAAACGAACACTATTGATGGGATTCCTTTTTTTCATTCCATAATCCATATCAATAACCTTTATTTATACGAGGAATTCAAAATAAAGCACATTTAACAACTTATATACATACACTCTAAGAAAGCAAAGTAAGATATTCTATTAAAAAACACAAAACTTGAGCTTGGTTGTTTTCTTGCAGACGTTTCGTTACTCAAACTAAATATCTAGCACTGATGATGTTACCTAGTTGGGTAATGAAGGATCTGCAAAAAAACAAGTGACCTCAGAGAGCACAAAGAACCACTCATTTCAACTCTGAGCTACAAATATTCTCCTTTACCAGTAAAACAAAACCAAAAAAGGTGCACCTTACTTACATCAACAATAAAATCTTCAGCCTTCAGTTCCACATCTTCAGACATTGTCATAGGTTTGGAATTAACAATTTCAGCACACAATCCTTCATAATCTTCCTAGAAGGCATAACATTTTAAACTTTTTATTGAGTCAGCAGACAACAGTAATTTCAGAAACTTGATTAATATCTAGAAAAATATTTGAGTTATGTGTATCATTTACTGCAACAAATATAGCATTGCTATAACAGTATATCTACAGTCTATTGATATCATATACATATATATACATATATATTTACATACATACATATACATACACACACACACACACACACAAGTTGTAGCAACGTTTCGGCAGAATCTCATCTGCCATCATCAGGCTTCTGTATAGTGTTCATCTGTGAGTCAGACTTTTACAGTGGTTTCAGATTTAAATTTGGGGCAGCCTATTGCTGCGCCAGAATGGTTTTTTCTTCATCCTGATTGGTTGGGAGTCTTGGTCTGTGTTTATTGGTCTTGGAGTTTGCTGTGTTCTGCTTGATTGGTGTTTCTAATATCTTCTGCCTCCAATACAGGAATGATGTATTTGATCATGAACAACTCAATCATGATGATCCTTATTGGAGTCTAGTCTTGCATTTATACACATTTTTAGTTATCCTCCATCACTGGTTAACTTTGGTTACTGCTTAACTTTCGTTACTGTTTAGCACAGTAATCCATACAATTAATTATCTCTAGTTAAAGTCTAACATATGTTTACTTCCTCTCTCTAATCCTCCTTTAGATTAGTGACTTTGTTTACCTGAGTTGTATTTGCTTGGAAACATTCTTTATCTGAGGTTTGCCACCCGAGATTGGAACATTCCTGCAATTACAACTCTACAACAGACGAACACAATACAGGAGCCTGATGATGGCAGATGAGATTTTGCCGAAACATTGCTACAACTTTAAAAGCACAACTATAATGACATGGGAAAATACCCGAACAAAGCTGAATACCATACATGTAAGTACCCGTGAAAACTTAAGAAAATAATAATATATAAGAATATATATATATTTCAAAAGAGTAATTACATCACCATCTGTTTTGGCAAGAGCATTCTGAACTCTTCAGGTGGACTGAAGTTGGGAGTGAAGCTAATCTCCATTACAAAGAGAAGGCAAATATAGGTTGGTGTATTTTAGTATTTGCTATTTCAGGATAAAAACTTACAATAACATTTTTCTTGAAAATATACAGTATGTAATTGAAATATGGATTAAACAAAAAGTATGGCTCATATGCTCTAGCAGCCCCTAAGGCACATGCAGTATTAAGATGCAGCACTTTTATGAATGAAAAGCAATGATTTAATTTCACAAAAAGAAAAATAAGAATATTAGTTATGTATCTGAACTATGGAATGAAGAATTGGAAAATCCACAATCTAATATAAAATTATGAAACATGAAACATAATTATTAAATATGAAATGAATTTATTGGAAAATTCACTTTTGAAATAAAGGTTTTGGGGAGGTTTTTTTTTAAGTGCCTTGTACCTTACTGAAAGGTAAGAATGAAGTATATGCCTTTTGAGAGCATGTGTGCCTGCACAACAATTTAATTCTACTGCTAGTTCCAACAGAAGTTACTGTATGTCTTGTACATACAAATGGAAATTGCAGTCATGCAAGCTTCCTAAATGAGCTGCTTTATTGTTTCATGAGATGTTTAATTTGGGCCAATTCACCTTACAAATTATCACTTTTGAATACTTTGCAAAAATTAAGTATGAGTAATAAACTATACTATAAGAGTTGTAAACATAATGCTTGGCTACACACAGCAATTTTTAACTTTTTTGCAAACAATTAAAGAAAAGAGCTCCAATGTATGCAAGAGAGCAAATTTAAAGGTGAATATAGATGAAGCAACTGTTTTCTTTATTTCCTGTGATGGCTGTCTGCCTTAGACATTTTAATTAACTCATTGAAAATTCTGTTGCAAAAGGAAATTCAGTCTGTTTCAACTAATTGCAAAGGGAGTTTTTAATGTTCAAAAACATTTTGTTTCTTGCAAGTTTACTACCAAGTAATTACAAAATGCTGCCATCTCATCTTTTCTTTTGCAACTGGAACGAAAGGGCTCATTCCCATGATTTTCTATGACCCAAACATTGAAACATTAATTATGATTAGACAATCCTTGCCTTGTTGGTTATCGTTTCATAAATATTTCCTTCCCAAACAAGGAATAAAGTTGGGCAAAAAAAAGCAGTCAGAATAGAAGCGACTGCTTCCAATTTTCTATTGCCTTCCACATTGAGTTTCCTTCTGGGAACCTGTCAAGGAGCATTGGAAATCTGCCTTTCCCTCTCCCATTTCCTTCCCTTCCCTTCCCTTTCAGGTAGGCAGAATAAAGATCATACATGATAGCAGCCACAACTTTCCCAAATTTTATCTCTTGGGAGTTGTGGGCCCTAGATTTTGGACGCCCTCTGTAAGTTAGTCCATTGGAAGTAACTTGGTTCGGGAATTGTTCTATGATGCACCATTTCAACCAATTAAAGGACATGATAAGAGTTTTAATAGTATAGAAATGGAGCACCCAAGCTATTAAGAATTATGTTTAAAGGTTAGCACCTTTAAAACTCTATATGGCACAGACCAAGGTTATCTGCAAGATCACCTTTTTCTAAGGATGTCCACCTGTCTTGCCAGGTCTGATAGGTTGGGCACAGTTCTCATCGCTTCCCTTAAACATTGCTACCTTATGAGAGTGAGGAAGCATGCATTTTGGGTGGCAGCCCCTGCTCTATGGAACGCTCTTCTCCCTGAAGTTGGGCAGGCCTCTACTTCCCTAGCTTTCAAAAGACCACTGAAGACCTGACTTTTCCTCCAAGTGCTGGCATAGGATGAGGTAACTGCTAGAAGTTTGACTGGATGCCAGGCTTTTTTGCTTATAATGTTTATTGTTTTAGTGATTTTTTATGTGGTTTATATTCTTGATTGGGAGCTACCCAGAGTTTGGTATAAGATGGGCAATTATAAAAATGTTTTAAATAAAATACTTAAATGCATACATATACATATACCATTTTGGACCATCACATCAGAAGTAGCAGTACACTGGTTCCTGCAACATTTTTAGATGTCCTCAGTCATCATTCCCTATTTTTAATGATCCAAATCTCAAAACATTGCCAAACTTTAGCAATGTTAGCAAATCTTTAGCAAATCTCTTATGAGAGATTTATATTTAGAAAATATAAAAGATATAGAAAATGAATAATTGTTCAATTATTATACTTAAATGAATTCATACAATGAAATGATTTAACCAGTGCAAATTGCCTCAACCTTTTTAACTTCCTCGCCCTCTGGTGGCTGTGTTTCCCCCAAGCATTTAAAGAGATCGCGCCGCTGTACTTTACACAGAATTTCACGTGCATCACTCAACTCTGGTTCATCAGAATGTAGAATCTTCAAAAAGATTTCATCTGCAAGAAAGTATTATGTAATTATTCTCACATATATTTTGTTAAAAATTTCAATAATAAACAATAATACAAACTAAAAGAAAGAAAAGAGAATAGAAAGAACAAAATGTGAAAAAAAATAAAGAAAATGAAATGAAATAAAGAAGTGACTTCCAACCTTCATTACAAGTATAGACAAATTTAGTAACTCTTCACATCTTACATGGCAACAAATAGATAGCTCTTCATCCCATATCCCATCCCTTATCTATAAGCAAACCCATAAAACATCAACTTTTCAATCCTGGTGTTAGCAAATAGTTTGTAAAGGATTGCCAGAACTTTGTAACAAAATCTTACTTTAACCTTGGTCAAATAAACCAACCTGTGGTTTACTCACCAGTTCTTCGGTCTTTGCTACAATCATCAGCTCTTTAATGCCTTAATTATTAAAGCTAGCTATAAATATTCTTATATCCATGAAAAAAATAAGAATATTTTTCCTAGTCTAAAATAGTAACCAGTAATCTCCCACAAACAGAAATGCTCATTTTATTTACAACTTTTAATCCAACTGAAGAATCTCACTGATAAAATGGAGGAACAGGGTAAGATCTTTTTTTCTCATTCTCTAATTCCACAAACTACTTCTGAACTGTGGACTACATAATTGGAGTACCCTGCAGAAATACCTGGTTTTTGAAAGGATTTGCAGTTTCAATGGAAACACGTTGCCACAACACTGAAACCTGAGAAAAATACTTCTCATACTTAGTGTGATAAGAATTTATGCAGAATCCACACATTCACCTGTCAGCTTGGTGTAGGCTTCCATGTCTTCCAGTGCTGTAGAGATCTGGAACACTTTTCCACCTGAGCCCTTTATTTTGATATGTGGATCAGCCTTTAAAAAGGCATCAGTAATCCTAATATGAAATAGATACAAACTGGAAATTATTAAAAACTGGGTTTCTAGAAACTATAGATTTAATTATACTTAAATATAAACAATATTTACCTACTTCAATGAAATCTACTTTGACAATGATTAAGAGAGAAAGGAAAGGATTTGTTCAACTGAGCTAGATTAGCAGAGAAAAAGTTAATGGGGTATATTAATTTATTAAAAATCTTTTGAGAAATCAATGACACTTCTAAGTATATTAATTGTATGCAACTTATTTATAAAAAGTACATCTAAACATCAAATCTTATTGAAGCATTTCCCTCCCTAATCATGTAGAAATATAACTTCTTCAAATAATACCTTGTTCATTGCAAATGTATACAGATTTAAAAATATTAAAATGCATATTTTTATAAGGATTGATTTAATCAACAACTCCCACAGAGTAAATCCTTTCAAACTTACATGGTTTCAATAACGTTGACAACTTTGTGTTGATATGCTCTGCGGTACAGACAGTTTCGTGTGTGGAACATGTCATACAAATTTCCAACCTCCTTTTAAATATATAAAAAATATTATTTATCTATTAAAACTATAATTGCAAAACACTTCTTGAACACTTCTTGAAATTCATTGACTGTTGCAAAATATTTGTATGAGAGTTCTATAAAGATAAAATTATTTTAATCAGTAAAAAAATATCCAACAGTTATTTTTGCAATCAACATTGTTTTGTTATTTAGTAGAAGACTTTTCTATCATTATGTTTCAGATATCCAATCTTATATTTTAGTAGAACCATGAGGCAATCCTTCTGCCTGTAATATGAATTCTACATTCAGCATTTAAAATGGCAGTTCATGGCTAAAATAGCCAGTCCAGTCGACCTGAAAGGTCCTGAGGGAGCCCTATCATCCTTCAAAGCCTTGATCTTCTTTCCCTTCAAAGAGAATTTGAAAATTCAGGTGAAATAAAAGAGCCCATGGGGACACTTCTGACCCTTATTTGTCTTTGATGGTGATGAGCATGGCACTAAATCTGCAAAAATAGAATAAATAAATAAGCCATCTAGAGTCGCCTTGAGACAAGATGGACAGCAAACAAATCTAATAAATAAAAGTTAGAGATTACATAAAAAGGCATCTTGCCTTGACTTTTATTATTCTGCTCTTTAAATTAAGGCTTTCACTGCTACTCTTTCACCATTCAATAAACTCACTAACTTTGGCAAGCAAAGAATTACAGCACTTCAGAGGATTAACGTCCTTGCCCAGAAGATTATTGGTTGCCCTCTCCCCTCTTTGGAAGAGTTTTGTAGCTCCCACTGCCTTAAGAAAGTTCAAAGCATTCTCAAAGATCCATCTCATCCTGGGCACCCTTTTTTTTTGAACCATTACTATCTGGCAGACAGTACAGAATAATAAAAGCACAAATAGGCTGAAAAACAGCTTCTATCCCAGGGCAGTAGCTCTGTTGAATTCTACTGTATAATGCAGTGTTGGGGGGCTTGAGAGTATAGAATGTGAAGGATGTGTGTTATTTTCATGGTCCTGATGTGCACTGAAGATGGTGTTTGACTTAGTTGTATGAGGTGCAATGACAATAAAGTAAACTAAACTAAACTAAATTAGCTTTCTAATCTTTGGAAGTCAGAATTTAGACTTCTAAAAAATCCACTTCTAAAACTTTATTCTTCTACACAAGAACTATAACCTTCTCTTATTCCTGCAATGTAGTATTCTCTTATTCCTGCAGTGTGTACCCTAACTGATATTTTTGTGAAATATACAAAATACACAATCTGTCCAAGGAATTTACCTTATCACGGGTACAAATATGCATCATATCTTTCACTTCGCAAACCCGAGCAAATTTAATGAAGCGCTCATAATCAAAATTGTTTTGAATTCCAAGATGATAACAATCCCTGAGTATATTCCAAAAAGACAAATAAGATCATTCAATCATATATTTTTTTAAATCTAGTTTGCACGTGAATACATTTACGATTCTACTAAATATTATTGCACACAAATTAACATACAGTACTGATTTAAAATATCAGTAAAATAAAGCAAAACAAAATTATTAGCAAAATTATTAAACCAAAACAGACAATGAACATGAAATAAATCAGTAATTTCAACGTTATATAGCAATCTGCAGTTTTAATGTTCACTTATTTGATTTTCCTAAGCAGTTTTCCATGATATTAAGCAATTCATAAAAGTTTATAAAACAATATTCTATCTATCTATCTATCTATCTATCTATCTATCTATCTATCTATCTATCTACACACTTAGTTTTAAAGTCATAAGTATCATCTGACCAACATTCTTTCTCATTTTCTACCATATTTTTCTCTACTATGAATAACAGATCCAAGTATCATTTCGCTGAGAAAAACACCAAATGTAGAGTAATCAGGGTGCTTATTTCTACTCAGCTTCCTCTACAGCTTTTTGATATATACTGCTCAAAAAAATAAAGGGAACACAAAAATAAGATATCCTAGATCTGAATGAATGAAATATTCTCATTAAATACTTTGTTCATTACAGAGTTGAATGTGCTGACAACAAAATCACACAAAAATTATCAATGGAAATCAAATTTAGCAACCCATGGAGGTCTGGATTTGGAGTTACACTCAAAATTAAAGTGAAAAAAAACCACTACAGACTGATCCAACTTTGATCTAATCTCCTTAAAACAAGTCAAAATGAGGCTCAGTAGTGTGTGTGGCCTCCATGTGCCTGTAAGACCTCCCTACAATGCCTGGACATGCTTCTGATGAGGTGGAGGATGGTCTCCTGAGGGAACTCCTCCCACACCTGGACTAAAGCATCCCCCAACTCCTGGACAGTCTGTGGTGCAACGTGGCATTGGTGGATGGAGCAAGACATGATGTCCCAGATGTGCTCAATTGGATTCAGGTCTGGGGAACCGGCGGGCCAGACTATAACATCAATGCCTTTATCTTGCAGGAGCTGCTGACACACTCCAGCCACGAGGTCTAGCATTGTCTTGCATTAGGAGGAACCCAGGGCCAACAGCACCAGCATATGGTTTCACAAGGGGTCTGAGGATCTCATCTCGGTATCTAATGGCAGTCAGGCTACCTCTGGCGAGCACATGGAGGGCTGTGCGGCCCCTTGAAGAAATGCCACCCCACACCATTACTAACCCACTGCCAAACTGATCATGCTGGAGGATGTTGCAGGCAGCAGAACGTTCTCCACAGCGTTTCCAGACCCTGTCACGTCTGTCACATGTGCTCAGTGTGAACCTGCTTTCATCTGTGAAGAGCACAGGGCGCCAGTGGTGAATTTGCCAATCTTGGTGTTCTCTGACAAATGCCAAATGTCCTGCACGGTGTTGGACTGTAAGCACTACCCCCACCTGTGGACATCGGGCCCTCATACCACCCTCATGGAGTCTGTTTCTGACCGTTTGAGCAGCCACATACACATTTGTGGCCTGCTGGAGGTCATTTTGCAGGGCTCTGGCAGTGCTCCTCCTGTCCCTTCTTACACAAAGGCGGAGGTAGCGGTCCTGATGCTGGGTTGTTGCCCTCCTACAGACTCCTCCACATCTCCTGATGTACTGGCCTGTCTCCTGGTAGCGCCTCCATGCTCTGGACACTACACTGACAGACACAGCAAACCTTCTTGCCACAGCTCGCATTGATGTGCCATCCTGGATGAGCTGCACTACCTGAGCCACTTGTGTGGGTTGTAGACTCCGTCTCATGCTACCACTAGAGTGAAAGCACCGCCAGCATTCAAAAGTGACCAAACCATCAGCCAGAAAGCATAGGAACTGAGAAGTGGTCTGTGGTCACCACCTGCAGAACCACTCCTTTATTGGGGATGTCTTGCTAACTGCCTATGCTTTCCACCTGTTGTCTATTCCATTTGCACAACAGCATGTGAAATTGATTGTCAATCAGTGTTACTACCTAAGTGGACAGTTTGATTTCACAGAAGTGTGATTGACTTGGAATTACATTGTGTTGTTTAAGTGTTCCCTTTATTTTTTTGAGCAGTGTATTATTCTGCAGAATCAATAGAGATAGTGCTATCAGTCAAGATAGTGTAGAGGTGGAATGAAAATAATTGAAAATTGGCATTTGTATGGATATCAACCTACTTTACACAGAACTAAATTTGATACTAACTATGGGCTTATCAAAGATTTCCCAAAGTGATCGAATTAATAGCTTAATTTCTTCATTTATTTATTAAACTACATGATATAGCTTGAGGTAAGATTGAACTAAGATCTACCCATTTCTTGCTGACTTTTTATATATATGAATACATTTTTATATCTTCTGAAGGATACACCTTACATTATTTATTATTTCTGTGTATGCTTGCCTTTCCATCAAGATTAAATCTAAAATAATACATAATACAAATAGCATAAAAACAAATCACATAAAATTGAAAGAGTCTAACTGCAAAGAAAAATACATTCCTGTTCTTTTAAAAATGGGAAAGAATTACTTTGTTGAAGGCGTTGTAGGCAAAACTCTTTCAATAACGCTTATAAAAATGTTTTCAAGTCTAGTAAATAGTATAAAGTTTCCATACCTGGCAAAATAGTCCCATTTATCAACATCAATGCCACTTGTTTTGTTAGCTACTATTTCATAAAGAAAACTCTTGTTTTTGAAACGACCACGATAGGGCCACTGTATGAGAAGGACAAAAATGTAAGCGAATACTGTCTTCTAATCAGTACCTACACCTATCTCATGGTGAACAATCAAACCAAGATTTTTAAGCAGTAACTTTCCAAAATTTTGCAAATGCTGCAGCCTATTAATTCCTATAATCAGTATTTTAACCATAAATAATTAAAAAGTAGATAGTCCCAGTCCAGCCCAAGACAGTGGGGTATGGGGGCTGAGCAGCAGCAGTAATGGGAGAAGGGAGGCAGCAGGGGACAGGACAGTGGTGAAGTATTGGCATTGGGGACAGGGCATCAGTGCAGCATCGGAGGTGGACAGCAGGGGGCAGGGCAGCAGTGACCATCCACAACAGCCCGTTTCTTGTGTGGCTCTTTTGGAAAATTGCCCACCTGTTACAAATGTATTCCATAATTATTCCCATTGCTGCATTATGTCTGTTTAAAACGTTTTGCATCTTTTTTAACATGCAATGTTTTATTTGTTCTGTCTCCATGTCTTATCTGAGTAAAAGCTTATATATGGATCCTACTGGGTGTCTTTATTCTGTATGACATTTCAAAATTTTCTTAGAAGCCCTGCCTCATTTTTGCATTCAGTTTTTAATTTTAGAACAACGTTTAAAGTAATCCATATTTTTTTATTTGAACAGGATTAAGGGAAAAACATTTATACATATATTCTAATGATGGTTCTCAACATGTCAGCAAACAACACCTTCCACCCTCAGAAATGTCAGGACTAAGCCTGGGCCTTTCTGCATGCAATGGTTTGCTCCGCTACTGAACTCCTGAACTTTATATATTAAAAATAAGTAACTAACAAAAACTAATGATCTTACCTTTTGCCCCTTTCCTTTTTTGATCCAAGTTCATTCTAGTAAACTGCACAATATCTAGATAAGATCCAGGAATATGAAAAAAATGGAACTTACCTCTTTGCCCCCACTTTTCTCCTGAACAGGACTATCTATCTGTTCTTTGATAAAATGTATGTCTTCATCAAGCTTGAGACCATACTTTTCCATAGCTGGCTTTAAGTTATTGGAATCAATTAAGTGTTCAAACATCTGAATGGAAGCCTGCTCATGCTGTAAATATATATAGATAGATGTTAAATCACCTTTTTAAAGAGTATGGCATAAATGTGCCAGGGAAGCCTACAATGCTTTTTAGTTTTGGCATCTTATGATTGCTATTTCATTTGGTTAGCAGCGTTTGGAGAATATCAGGTCATCTAGGCTTTCTTTCAGTGACTTTGCCTCACAATTGGGTAGGTCTGGTGCTGGTTCCCACTTCCACAAGTAATGCTGCTAGCTTTTCCCACTACAGTGATATTTATTTATCTACTTTTCATTCTCTTTCAAACTGCTAGGTGGGAAGGAGCTAGAGGCAAATGATGGGAGCTCACTCTACCACGTGGTGTCATGGGTTCAAACAGCCAGAGTGCCGACCATCTTTGGCAGATATATCCAGGGTTATTAAGCTGCTGTGCCACTGTGCTCCCTTTTGTTAAGCACCATATAAACTATCCATCAATCCAGCATAACTGATATTTCATCAAGAAAAACTAGAAGCCCTTGTTTAAAATCTCCACAATGATTTAAATTTGGCTTATGAATCCCAGCTATTGAGATAATACGTCACAGTTTTAAGTTTGTATGTATTACAAATAATATTTACAGTAACTACAGTTATTGTTGCTTTTCTATCCATTCAAGGAATAAGCAGAATAAGACATTTGCTCATTCAGAGAGTTGTCAGCTTACGACAGATCGCTTTTGACCAGAATGTTGACTTTTGCTATCTTCAAAAGAGACTTTTGTCTTTCAGAAACACACGGAAAGGCAAAGACACTCTTACAAAGACATCAAAATCCATATTCTGGGCAGAGAGAAACACTGGTTTGAAAGAGGAGTTAAAGAGGCCATCTATGTTAAAAATGAAAAGCCCCCTCTCAACAGAGAGGGAGGGATGACACCACCTATCTCCTGTTTACAACACAGTCCTTCCAGCAATTCCACACCAGTGATGGGATTCAAATTGTTTTACCACCAGTTAGGTGGGTGTGGCTTGGTGGGTGTGGCTTGGTGCTTTCCCTAATGCCAGTGCACAGCTTTCCCCGCACCAGCTGAGACCTGCAGCACCAATCAGCTGAGAGGATAAAGAGAAAAACGCAGGGGCAGGTAGGAGGGCCGATCCTACCTTTTCTCTTCTTTTTCCTCTCAGCTGATTGTCAGGATTTTTTCTCCTCCTCTCAGCTGATAGTCGGCTTTTTTTACTACTGGTTCCACAGAACTCACCTGAACTGGTAGCATACCACCAATGTTCCACACCCATTTGCACTTCGATTTAGGTGACTCTGAGGACACAGATAAACCTCCAATTGACCTCAATGACTCTCAGAGAGCTAATGATCTATTCTCACAGTGCTAACGACAAGGTGACTGCAAAGAATATAAATCCTTCCATTCCTCACCATTCAGTCAGAACGGAAGAAGCTTTTTGGATAAGAAGCGAAATGTTTTCAAGAAAAACAATCTCAAGGAAGTCCAGTTGCCTCTTGGAAAAGCACCTTTGGGACAACCATGACCTGGATGATTGAGAATCTCCATGAGCCTGTCTCACCTACAGTACATATAAATTTAATAAATAAAATAATATCCACCTTCCATTCTAATCCTGGGCGAGCAAGTGGAATGAATCTTCCATCAAACATATGCGAAAATGGTCCATGACCTAAAAGTAAAGATTATACAATTAATCTTTGGCAGAGTTAAGATGTATTTGTATGTCTTTAAATGCATATAGATATACTCAGATACATAGACAAATGTTCCTCAAATCTATTAAAGCCAAAGTTTTCACTTATTGTTTATTGAACCTGAGTTGGTCATTTTTTAATCCACTCCCTCTCTCTCTGGTTAACAATTATATTAGAATTTAGGATTTAAGTTTCAAACTCTTTTCAGAATATTGGTGTTTTAATTGTGTTGAAAAGACCATGTTGAAATAAGTAATTTAATTTATAGAGTAGAACTTTAAAATTTAAAAACAATATTAAGCCAGAGAAACAAACTAGAAATAAAAAATGGCATGTTCTTCTTGTTACATTATTGAAAATATGGTTTGTAATCATCCTCAAAACAGGAAAACCTTATCATTTGGACTTACTATTTGTGCTAATTGATAATACACAAGATGTATCTTTCTAACAACTGCATCACATATTAAGACCATGTTTAGTTTTCTTTTCATAGAATAATTATGCTAAATTATTGCCAGAGTTTCCAAGGCAAGATCCTCCTGCCTTACCTTTCTTTTAGATGTTTCTAAATATTAACATTAAATGAGTATTATTAAAAAGCTGGCATGCTGCAAAGCAAAACATTAGCAATGACATTAGTCATTTACAGAGTTATTTGTGTAAAGAAATTCAGAATTTTGTGTTGAAATTCAGAATTCAACACAAATGTGGTGGCTAGCTATGTCTTAGGTCTTTGTTATAAATGAACAAAGTAATCAGGGACCTGAAAGCAGGCAGCCTGAGGAACTGGACAGTGTAGGAGGGAAACTTTAATGAAGTACAACATTGTAATAATATTCCTGACAAATTCAATTGCTGGTCATAAAAACTATCTATTCTGTAAGCTTTATAGTTTCCTGTACAAAATAATGACAGCTGGGGGTAAAAATAAGATTTGCCACTGTAAGCCCAAATTAAAACTATATATCCAAAGAAACAGTGGCAGAAAGCTAACAACAAAATAAATTATTTTGAACTGAAAAGCTCCAATCAGCAGCAGCAGAAATATACTCTTGTGGATGATTAGCTCTTTTTGTTTCAGCATACTTGATGGGATTGACCTTGTGACTTTCTATCTATCTCATAGGATTTGGGATGGACTGTCACCCCGCCTAGATTATTTCTATGTCATCTTCAGGCACATTCCATTGGTTGACAAACATTGAATTACCACACTGAATTATCGGTCAAAATAATGAATTCTAGTTGAGGCATTTCATAATTAAATTGACTTTTGTAATCCCTTTGTATAACCTTAGCCACTTTAAGCTCAGCAACCACATTTTAAATACCTGACACAGTTTACATCAAATTAGTATATTATTTTAATACAACTGTTAAAAGTGTTACAAGAAATAGTTTGAAATGGTATGTTTATATATGCATATTACTTATTAACAGAACTTGCTTACCCAAGTCATGACAAAGTCCAGCAATTTGAACACAGAGAATATCCCTCTGATCAATATTCAGTTCAGGTTGTCGTTCTTGCAACGCCTGCACCAAACGGCCTGCAAGATGACTAACACTTTTCCAGAAAGGGAAGAAATTAACTTTTCTATGTCTTGAGTTTAAGATTTATAAATAAAATAGGAATTTAGGTGACAAAAACAATGCAATTATGAGCTATGCTATAAGGCTTATTTAAATTCTGAATTTCCATATTATATAACAGAGAATGTTTCATGTTACTGATCTTTGTTTTAAATAATGTGAAATGTGAAATTTAATGTGAAACAAGGAAGAATATATATTTTTCTCATTTTTAAAGGAAGAAAACAATATCTGCATATTCTTGCCTGTATTTTATATACACTATGTAGAAACCAGTTTTCTTTAGCTCAAGCAGAAATTAAGAAAACTTTTCCTCTATCTCTTGAGCATGAGAGAGCACCATGGAGCATAGAAAGCCTACAATATAGAGAGTCTCTCTTCAAAAAGCCTAGTTTTACTAATGGTATACAACATAATAAAATGCATTATATTCAAGATACTGGCTACATAAACTAAGTAGCCTTTCTTTTCATCTACAATTATTAGTGGTGATTCCCAAAGTTTAAGAAAAAATATTACGTATTGTAAATTTTAAGAGTATTTAAATATGTGGCATCATAAAGCAAAATTTAAATATAAAAATCTCCGTCAATGGGAAACATATAGCAGAAACTGTTTTTTTTTAAATTCAGCATAATCATTTTACTTATACAAAAGCAATTTCTGTGTATAAACTAAGTAAACATTACTCCTTACCCAAGAGAATGTTCAAAGCGATTGTGTGATGCTCCTGGGAAAACATAGTAAGCGCCACCCAACTGTTTAATATATCGTAGACGCTGAAACTGAGGTGTGTCAATGATGCGAACAAGAAGAGGATGCATTTCAATATGTCCATGGATTGAGTCATTAAATACCTGGAAAAAGCAAAACAAAAATTTAAAATATCAGTTAATCTATAATAAATAATATTTCAATCAAGAAATATTCTAATTTCTAATTTTTCTAATTCTAAAAAATTAAGATAAACACAGGTAGTTAAAGTCCTGACTCACAAGTAACGAATAGCCCAAATGAAAATCAACAGGGACAAATTAACCACCCATATAAAACAAAAGTGGAAAACCCTAGGCCAGGATGAGTCACATGCTACCCATGCCTGGTTTAGTGAAGGGGAAAAAGTCCTGATATGTCATGTTATGCCACCGTGATGATGCAGTTTGACACACACATCCCGCCCTAGGCTAATGATTTAAATGTTCGCTATTATCTTTCTTCTTGCATTCCCAGAACTACTATAGATGGTTACTCTCTTACCATCTTGAGCAGATTTTGGGCAGAAAATAAAGCCTGCAGAGCAAGGAGGGTTTTTTTTTTTAAAGTTATCTGTTCCAAAAATATTACGAAAGTTCTGTTTTTTTGTTTTTTTGTTTTAAAGCAGGGAATTTTAACTTTCCAGATTTCCAGTTTTATCATTGGATTAATCTAAACTTCAATTTCTTCACCAAATTTAAGTAATTCTCAAAATAATATGGTCATACTTAGAAAGTTAATGTTGTCCCCATTCATATCCTGCCAAGAACTCACTTCTGGTTTTACTCAAAAATCTCCCTTTCTTACATTAGAAGACACAAGACATATTTGGATGCTGCTGGGAAAGCTTAAACCAGGTCTCAATTATCAGGAGAAATTGACACTTTAACATAACTCCAGTTTGAGAACTGCAGGTAATAAGTGCTTATTTTCCTGCAATAATCTTCCCTGTGTTCACAGTTACATATATAATTAAGGACCTGATGTTCTGCTTAACTTTGTTCTGGTTGTATTGGATTTTTTTGCTTTGTTTATTATAATGATTTATTATGTGCTATCAGGTCAATGCTGACTTTCAGTGACCATATACTTTTTCCAAGGCACTCTGTCTTAGTCCTTAAAGTCTTCCAAGTCTCTTGCCACTGGTCATCTTCCTTTCCTCTTCCTTTCCACCCTTCCCAGCGTTGTAGAGTTCTCCAGAGAGCTAGGCCTTCCCATAATGTGTCTGAAGCATGACTTAAATCTGATCACTTGTGTTTCAATTGAGTGCTCTGGGTTGATTTCTTTAATGGCCCATTTGTAGGATTATCATGTATAAAGTAGGAGGCTATATGTTTTCCAAGCAAATATATCAAATTAATGAAATAACTTGTTATATTAGGTCTGTGGTGGCGAACCTATGGCATGTGTGCCAGAAGTGGCACGCAGAGCCATCTCTGAGGGCAGGCAAGACGTTGCCCCAGCTCAGTTCCACTGTGCATGCGAGCAAGCCTCCCGTTAGCCAGCTGATTTTTGGGTATCTGCCATGCATGTGTGGGGAGCAGGGAGCATACGGGAGATGCTTGCGCATGTGCAGGGGAATGGGGGGAGCACGGGAGGGTCATGCATACATTGCATTATAGGTGCAGGTACGCATGCGTGCTCTCGCATGTGCACATGCGCACTTTCAGTACACAACGACAAAAAAGTTAGCCATCACTGTGCTAGTGTAGTCTTACACTAAATTAAATGTTCCAGTGCACACAGAGGCATAGAAGAAATTAACATATCCAGTTGATGAATAGCAGTGAAAGACAATTTCAGCATTCTGTTGGCTATTATTTTTATCATTTAAAGATTATAGTTAAATTAACAAAAGGTATATTTTTTATGCTGGACATCCATATATCCTTTCAGAAAGAATGTAATAGGGATTCAGCTAAATATTGGAGATGTGTAATTCAAAACACAACATTGGTTCATACGATCCCATCCCGTTCATGTCAGAAGCACCTAAGGTGCTTCCAGATTTAAAAGATTAGCTGGTAAAATCACCGTTGCCCAGTTGGGGGCCCTTTCATATCCTGTAAATGTGCCCACCAAAGTGGTACCTATCTATCTATTCAAGATTGCTCACTTTTGAACTACTAGGTCAGCTGGAGATGAAATGACACAGCAGCACTCGGGTCTCTGACTAATCGTCAACCCAGAATCCTAACCACCACAGTCCTGTGGGTTCATATGATATGGCCTTCTGTTACTGTGACTTCCTTTTAAACAACTGTTATTTCACATATTAATTTTGTTTTAAAGTTAATTGAATTTTATAAACACTAATCTTCTTTTGAATTATATAAAAATGATTTAGAAATTAACGGAGGGCAGAAAACAGATCAGGTGGTTTAACCATTGTAAAACAATATCTAAACAAACAGGAAAAATGAAAGCATGTCTATTCTCTACCACTTATACAATGTCTAAAGACTCTTACATTCTAACAAGGCTATTTTATGGACAGGAGATCCAATTCCAAGTCTATTTAGAAATTTGGATTGAATTGTAGCTTGTTTCCCAATGTCAAAATAAACTGGCTTAAGTATTAAAATAATATAGCATTACAAGATAATTTTGTTTGGTACATTCCTTTTTCAACATACAGAATAAATAAAGTGTTTGTTCACCTTTGTTATATCAGTGTAACTTTGACTTTGTGCCAGTTTGCGCATACAAATTAGCAGCTTCTTTTTCACTCCTGTAGCACTGAAAATGAAGCATATAACATGACTTAAACAATAATAAAATATTTTATTTAGTAATGAAGTTAATATGGAAGCTAAATTAACTGCTACTAAGACATGAATTTTATAGATGTTTTTAGCAAAATATCTTCTGGCAGAAAGCGATGGTGATAAATCACTCATTTTTAAAGGATAACGTCATGAAGAAAAAAGACATTTATTCCTATTCTAAAAGAAAAGTTACATTTACATTTCCACATTAATTTTATTAATAACAACATATACATATTTCACTTTCTCTTTTTACCCTGAGCAATGTCCTGCACAGTGTAACTATAAAATGGTAAGCATAAAATGATATATCCTCATTTACATCCTGCAAGCAAAGCAATATCCATAGTTAGTATGCTTTATGGAAGTGTTGAATCAATGATGTATGGCATCCCTAAACCACAATGACAAAAGCAAGAAACCTTTGGCAGAAGTCAAAAGCTTCTTGGTGCTGGCTCTCCAAGAGATAGGCAAGTCCCTCAGAACAAATCTTGAAGAGACTCAGAGAGGCTGAAAAGACCTGCACAACTTTGATTGGTAACAGTTCTTATCAAAAAGGACACAGTTAAAAGAAATAAGGTTACAAGGGTCAAGAGAAACAAACAATAGGGTGCAGAAACAGGATGTAAAATTAGAAAATAGAGAGAGACGGTAAGAATATAAATTAATAGCATTAAAAGGGCAATGCTATTGTCCTTAGATAATAAGATAAAATATAAAGTCTTATTTAAAAATAAGACATTACTAGCAATAAAAGGTCACACAATGCTGTATCATCAGGGATAAACTTTACTTTGTTATTCACCAACAAAAGTTACTAATTGTTATAATAAAAACATTTTTGTTCAAAAGACAGATGCGAGTGTACTGTCTGAATGTGTACTATCCATGAAATTATACAGCATGTACCAGAGAAACTTGTCACAATGTATCCAGAATTGTCATTTTGGATAAATGATTTGTGAATTCGCTCTCTAGCAACACAATGGGAAGACAAATTTATTTTGTGGGGGCAGGATATAAGCAAAGTTTAAAAACAGAGGTTAAATGTTTGGTATGTATTATGTTTATTCTTTTTCCTGTATTTTTGCTTTTTTATATCTTCATTTTTTTGTGTGTACCAAAACAATATAAAAAAAAATCTTCCAAAAAAACAGCATCTGAAAATGAAAGTCACTTAAATATATTATAGTATTTAGGCAACCAATAATAACCAAAAATGCAGGTGCAGAAGACATAACATTCTTATAATTTCTTCAATTTGAATAGATAAAAAGTTGCTTACCAAATTCCCATTTTTTCAAGATCAGATTCAGTGAGACCTGGTACACCTGAACCATCTATTTTATGTTCTAGGGAGTTAAATACATAAACTTTAACATTTCTTTCTGAAATTGTCATTTTGAAATTATTTGACAGGTTACAATTAATCTGACTACAGGACTACAAGTAATGAATAATATATACATTAATAAACTTGAAATACAGTATTGCTTTGATTCAAGCAATTACACATTCTTCAGAGAAGCCATGAAAATATAGTGTATGAAGAGACTACTAATCCATGTTAGTAGTTTATTGAGAATCAGGCAACATAAACATTTAATAATTATAATTAAACGCACATATATCCTGTGAATTATGTTCATATTACTGTAATAAAGTGATTCTCCTTGTTCCCTAAATATAGATAAACTTGATATTACATTTATCCTGGAATAAATTAGCATAACCAAAAGACATCCAATATATATTCCAAAACTTCCCTGTGGATACAGGAAGGAAACAGGAATACAGGAATCCATAAGGAATGTGGGTCTTGCTAGTACCCTGAAGATTTGCTGATTGTATGGTAGTTTGATCTTGCTTACTTATAAGATAAGTACAACATACTGAGCAGAGCAAGCTATTCTATGCCAGAGCGTCAAGTATCACAGCCGCCTAGATTCAACTCAATTCACAACTCAATTCTTATTGGGCACACCCTCTAATATTACTGCAGGGGAAATAGTAATCTCAGAAGACTATGATTTCAATATCAGAGCAGATGATGCTTACTATGAAACAGAGAATCCAAGTGAATATATAACAATATATTGTCTATCCCATGTAGTTTGATTATAACATGTTTCTACATATTAATCTCCTTTGCAATGATCTTGTTTTTTGCCTATTTCATGGATAAGTCCACGCAGATTTTTTGACAACAGTGGAGAAGTTTTCCACTTCCTTCTTCTGAAATGTTGACCTGTCAGTTATTGTTTTTTTTTAACCTAGTATCAGGATATTTGATTAGAGGATTACTGTCTGACCTGCCACAAACTTAAACCTCTAAATACAAGTGATCCTTGGCTTCATTTGTTGAGAAAGATATAGTGTTATTAGAAGTGCACTGCAGTAGTGCATAGCCAGAACTGAGAATCAGGTGCCAAAATCTCTAAGCTCAATTTTTCCCTCCCTTAACTATCTTGAATTGCCCACCCCTGTGCAACCAGAAAGATTCAAGCAGGCTTGTCCAAGCACAGATTGGTAGGCAGCTGGTATGCCAGGTGACTTTGAAGCCGAAACTCCCAAGAGATACAGCATTCACTTTCACTTTCCCCCTCGCTTCACCACTCGCCTTAATTCATGGCAGTCTGTTACAATAGAGTAGAGCAAAGCACAAGCAAGCATTAAGATGGAAGCTGACTTTTATTAAGATTCTGAAACCAAGTCTCACTCTGTTTTCTAATATATTGTTAGCCTTCTTACTTTTCACAAGTCTTGAAGATAGCTTACCCAAGGAAATGAGATAAGGCATGCATTCCAAGGATAGCTTCACTTTAGATAAAAGTAATCTCAGAAAAGCCCTAGCAAGGAAGAAGGGAAGGAAGGGAGTCCCTTATACAGAAAAATGTTGATACAAGAAAGGAGTGACCGAGTAAGGGAGTGATATTCTATGGGAGGGCTGATTGTAAGGCATATAATGTGTGCTAAATGGATGGGGAGGGGGCTCTACAGTTCTCATTTAATGGACTGCTATCATTCTTGAAAAACAAAGTACTTAATTTCATCCTGTTGTTTCTTTGATCCCAATTCATGACAAACTTGTTAAGGAATACAATTCCAACACAATTTAACCTAGCCGTCTCCCATCCCACACCTGACCCTGGTTAGTTTCCAAACCCAGGCAAGCCACCATCTGCAAAATCTCTACTGTATCACCTAGTATAATTATTTTTATAGCCAGACTCTGAAAAATTATACTTAAAATCCTACAGGTTGGTCAGCATTTAATATAATTATCATAATACATTCCAGGAAAACATTAGTTTTACTAAGTGATAAATCTGAACACTGACAGGGCAAGTCACTAGACTAGAATATAAACTGGCAACAAACCACCCCTCTTACTAGCACTGATGATGCTATCTTGTTTGGGTTATCTTTTTATCTTGTTTGGGTAATGAAATGTCTGCAAGAAAACAAGCAAACTCAGAGAGCACCAAGAACCCCTCAGATAATTTTGAATTATATTTTCTAGAAATTCATTTCTAGAGTCATATTTCTAAGATAGTAATAAGTACAGATTGCCTGTATGTAAACTTAATATATCATCTGTGTCTTATAGGATTAGGCTACAAAAAAAATCAATAATAACCCAAACTCACCCAGTGAAGAACCTCATAGCAAACAGAGTTCAACCTGAGTTCCAACCTCCTAATCCACTTACCTAAAAACTCTTTATAGTATAACCTAAGCAAGACAATTCACAGGAATCTAGAGAAAGCAAGATCATTGTTAGGTGATTTCAATTCAAATATTATTCAGACATTAGCAATGATCAATTAAGAATTGGCTATAGCAACATTAGGAGGCAAATGAAACTATTGCTTCTGGAGGTGAGTTCCACATGCAGGACTAGAAGCAGTCTGGAGCCATTTCTTCATCAATGATTGTTGCACTGATGTAACCATAACAAAAGCAGGCCTGATATTGCTGCTGCTTGTCCAAGGGCAGTATAAACCAAAAGTCATGACATCATCCAATAGTAAACAAGGTGAGTAACTAAATTAATAAAATTCATTTTAAATAATCAGCATAATAGAATGTTTGTAAGCATATAAATGTTCTCATTGGAAAAAATGGTCTTTTTTCACAATGGAACCTATGTTTTGGATAGAGTTAATGGTGGTTTAAGATAAGATATTGGAATACAATCCAGTTGCTACAAATCTTGGATTAAACCAACAGCACACCATTTTAATTCATTTTAAAAGTGTGCTGCTTAGGTCCCTAGACGGCAGCGTTTAAGAGAAGGGACCTAGTGTTTATCCACTCTATTTTACCTAGAGGTATGGGCAGATACCCTCAAGAGAGGGGATCCATAAGTAGCCTAAGCTCATGCCATTTATGGCTTTAAAGGTGACAACCACCATCTGGAAAGAAACTGGAGCTATTGAAATAATGTTGAAATATGAGCAAAATGTGAGGCACCTAGAACTGCAAATACCACCACATTCTGGAGTTGTAGTTTCCAGATAATCTTCAAGAGCAGTCCCATGTAGAGCCATTGCAGTAATTCATCTGGGAACTGACCCGGGTTTGAGTGACTGTGAGCAAAGTATCCCAGTCCAGGAATGACTGCAATTGGTGCATGAGATGGATCTGTCCAAAGGCCATGATTACCACTTGTCCACAAGCAGAATTTTCAAGTCCATGAGTAGCCCCAAACTGTGCCAGCTGGTCTGGTGGAATACCAGCCTGGCAAGAATCAAAATGACATATGCCTGGACTCAAGAGTCCCAACAATCCAGAGCCACTTGCTACGGCTAAGTTGAAACTGGCTCTTCCTCATCCAAACCCTAGCAGCTGGCAGGCCAAAAGCAGGATAGTATCATTTAGCCAGCAAGGAACAGAGATGTACAATTATGTATCCTCAGCATATTGATACTGCACCTGTGAGATTAGACTGAAGCTGCTGTAACTAAAGATAAAACAGGTGCAAAAGCAGAGAAGACAAAAGCCAGGAATCTTATCTAAAAGATCCCTTCAGGGAAGTAGATAAGAAATAAAGTCATTAAGAAAACAAAGGAAAATATCACTTGAATCAGTCAAAGGAAGTTGGGCCCAAGCCATGAAAAAAGATACAATCCCAGCTAACCAACAAAGCAAGAACTTTGGGGAATAAAGAGATCCTAGCCTATTCCTACAGTCTTCTTTTGATTCAGACTTGGCAGCCTTGTTTAGTAGGACGTTGGAATGTATGCGTGAGAATGAGTTTTGCTGTTACTTTAACTGTGTCTCTGTGTATTCCAAAGAACACGTGCCTCAGTGTTTTCCTGAAGGTGATTTCTGTGTGTCCCTAGTTATTTCCTGCTATTGAACAAAGATATGTGCCTTATCTACTGCAGATACATCTATTTGGAAAATCCATTTAGGAAACAAGGGAGGCTTGCAAGATCTGCATGTAATACAGTGCAATATTAGATGACCTCTCTCTTGAGATGTTATATATTACTGCTTCCTTCAAGGCAGGCAGCACCAGCTCTTTCCATGATAAGCATTAATTATCACATGGACCCAGCTGTGAGTGATCTCTCAAGAGGCCTTATTTTTTATTTATTTATTTTGTATTAGATGTTTTTTATCCCACCTTTATTTTATAGGTAACTCAAAGCGGCAAACGTATATAATATTGATGGACCCAATCTGGGTTGGTCACTGGGGACCAGAAGTTTAGTCTTCTGAGCTTTTGGACTCATGCTGGAACCCATCCTTGGGGAATTTCTCTCTCACCAGAGACATTCTGGTGCAACACGTTCCAGTAAAAGAGAAGTTCCTTCCAGCACGAGTCCAAAAGCTCGGAAGGCTAAATCTCCGGTCCCCAGTGACCAACCCAGATTGGATCCTGCAACATTCTCCTGGGACACATACATTTGCCTTCATTTGTGAGACACAGTATTCCTTCCTTGTCCTATTTTCCCTACAACAACTCTGTAAGATGAGTTGGACTGAGTGAGAGTGACTAGACCAAAGTTGCCAGCCACTTTCATGGCTAAGGCTGAACTAGTTCCTGGTTTCTAGCCTGCTGCCTTAACCACTAAACCAAACCAGGACAGGGCACAGGTATAAAATTTAGGCAGTACAGCTTACAGCCCCATGGATTCTGTCCAACTGTTTTGCATTAATTGGCTGAAGTGTTTCCGAATTACTTCCAAAGAATCTGCCCAGTTGGCATCTTAATTCCAAGAAAAGTCAAGCAACTTTATCCAACAGATGCTGAAAATATTCCTCACAGTGGCACTACAAAGGCTCCCATAGTCTTCCCTCCTTACCCAGGAAAGACTTAAGAGGGCTGTCCATTTGCCATAGACTACAAAGAACAGCCCATCATCTGGGTCATTTCCTAATATTGATTTAAATCAGGGATCTCCAACCTTGGCAACTTTAAGGCTGGTGCACTTCAACTCCCAGAGTTCCCCAGCCATCTTTGCTTTGCTGGCTGGGGAATTCTGGGAGTTGAAGTCTACCAGGCTTAAAGTTGCCAAGGTTGGAGACCCCTGATTTAAAGTGCTACCCAAATATACTTGAGAAGACAGACAGCTATATGCTATGGAGTTTGTTCAATTCCTTTCCTACCAGCACTGTGGGAGTAAGTGGGAGACAATTCCTAACACATGACTGTGGAGATTCTCAGTCACCCAGGTCATGGTTGTCCAAAGGTGCTTTTTCAAGGGGCAACTGGATGCTCTGGTTTTTCTTTGAAGATGTTTTGCTTCTCATCCAAGAAGCTTCTTCAGCTCTGAAGACCTAAAAAGCACCTTTGGGAAATCCTAGTAGAGTTTAAATATGCCGAGGCTGCCTTTGAATGTTACTGGGAGAGGGGAGAAAACATCACTTTAACAGCTGCACAACTAAGGGTGGTGATTCAAGCTCTCTCATTCATGGCTGAAGACCAAATGAAGCCAAACACAGCAGGAAAAGGCCAGTGTATAGGTATAAGAGCATGTCAGTGAAACCCCCTTTGATTCTGAGGTATTTTTTCACCACTGCCCTCTCTCTAGAGCACCCAGCATGAAAATAAACCTTCCCCTTGTTCCCTGGCAATGACAGGCATCACTTTTGGAGTGCCCTGCCCCAAACAAAACTCTTCGAAAGAAAAACCTTTCTGATTCTAGGCAAAATCACATCAGATATTGTACAATTAGCACAGGAGCCCACCAGGATTGTGTGCTCTCTCCACTTCTCTTCTCTCTATACACCAATGACTGCATCTCAAAAAATCCCTCTGTTAAAGTACTGAAGTTTACAGATGATACAACAGTGATTGGTCTCATTGGAGGCAAATGACAAATTTTGCATACAGACAGGAGATTGAGCCTTGTGGTACAACTAGAACAATCTGGAACTAACCAAACTCAAAACCGTAGAAATCGTGGTAGATTTTAAGAGAAACCCTCCTATACTACCACCTCTTACAATACTAGACAGTACAGTATCTACAGTAGAAACCTTCAAGTTTCTAGGGTCTATCTCAAGACTTAAAATAGACACCTAACATCAAAAATGTCATTAAAAAACGACAATAAGAATGTTCTTTCTGTGCCAACTCAGAAAGCTCAAACTGCCCAAGTAGCTGCTGATACAGTTCTATAGAGGAATTATTGAGTCTGTCATCTGCACCTCTATAACTGTCTGGTTTGGTTCTGCAACCCAACAAGACAGACACAGACTTCAATGGATAATAAGAACTGCAGAAAAAACAACTGCTATCAACCGGCCTTCCATTGAGGAACATTCTATTGAGGACCTGTATACTGCACAAGTCAAAAAGTGGGCTGTGAAAATATCTACAGACCTTACACATCCTGGACATAAATTGTTTCAATTTCTACCCTCAAAACCAGGCTATAGGGCACTGCACACCAGAACAACTAGACACAAGGACAGTTTTTCCCCCCAATGCCATCACTCTACTAAACAACTAATTCCCATAACGCTGTCAAACTATTACTAAGACTGTATTACTATTATTCTCCTCATCCTTCCTATTACCTATCTCCTCCCACTTATGACTATAACCACGTTGCTTGTATCTTTATAATTTATATTGTTTTATTTATTTGCTGGTATGTTTTGATTGCTTATTAATAACCTATGACTATCACTAAGTGTTGTATCTTATGATTCTTGATGAATATATTTTTTCTTCTTTTTATGTACACTGAGAGTATGTGCACCAAAGACAAATTCCTTGTGTGTCCAATCACACTTGGCCAATAAAGAGTTCTATTCTATTCTATTCTATTCTATTCTATTCTATTCTATTCTATTCTAATCTAATCTAATCTAATCTAATCTAATCTAATACTATTATATTTTATTCCTTCTTTCGGCAAATACCCAGTAACCGCCCATAGCAACACTAGGTGGCGGCTCCTCAATAAACCTTTCCTTCCTCAAATAAAGGTTTCCCGCGGCCCGGCCCAACGTTCCACTTGCCGGCTTTCCCGCGCACCTCGAAAACACTGCAGCTCCGCATCTTCCAAGCCCTGAGCCTGAAGGAAGGCGCACAGCTGCTCCGTGTCCCAGAACCGAGGACAGAGGTGAACGGAACCCGCCGAGTGTACAGCGGTAACGCCGCGCTTTTGAGGCGTCTGGAAGTCATCGGCTGGGCTGATAGGCCGGGCCCGCTTAAGGGCGCCTTCCCGGTTACAGTTCGACATTGCTCTGCCGCTCTGACAAGGAGAACGGCGAGCAGCAGCTTTTCTTCGCTTGCGCGGGCTCCGGACCCGCCCCTTGGCTACCTCACCACAGCGAGGTGGCGGAGGGAGGGAGCCACATGACTGTCGCTGGCCTCTCCGAGTCGGGAGGGGCGACCTGGCAGAGGGACCCTTGCGCGGGGAGTACCGCTGCAGACTCGCTCTGCCACGTTAACAAGAGATAGAAACGCGTGGGAGTAAGAGCCGACCTTCAAACCACGACCCGCCAGTGGACCCATCCATTCGCCCACTCCTTGATATTTTTGCCTCCCCCGCCCCCTTTTTGAGAAATGAGCAATGGCTCAAGCTGATGGTGATATCGGGACAAAGGGGACATCTCTACCCAGTTTCGGAGGTCTAAATCGACCTGCTTGTCGGCTGTTCCGTGTTTTCAAATAAAAAGGCAGTAGTGCTTTTTTTTAAAAAATACACACTGAAGTCGCTACAAATTTAATATCTAACAACTAGTGTGGTTCCATTATTGTAATCTCCCTTCCCAAAACTCTTCTGATGTGTTAGCTTCCATTCTCGACGTTTCCTCTCCATGCAAAAAATGTCTCGGGGAGGGCGCCCTCCCCTCCTCAGACATGAGTGTGTACCTTGGGGCCATCGTTGAGGCCTGGTGACCATCAGTTTTCTTAGCAAGATTTAAGAAGTGGTTTGCCATTGCCTGCCTCCTAGAGCTGAAAGTGACTGGTCCAGTTACCCAACTGGCTTTGGCAGGACTAGTCATCTGGTTTCTAGCTTGAACCCTTAACCATTACACCAAACTGGCTATCATTCTCAAATTTGAGCCTTTCCTACATATTGTCAAATGAAACTTCAGGGAATGCACTTTTCTTTTCCTACAATTTGTCTCATTCTTCTTAGACATCCATTTTGTCCAACTATTAAGAGGCAGCATAAAGGTACATAGGTAGGACGTGAACTGAATTGACATTTTCATTGGAGCTGCTTTCTTGCAAACTTATAAATTATGATTTTCCAACATATAGGCACACAAGCCCTTCTGATTTAGTGCAATGGAAATCATAAAACAAATCTTAAGTCCTAAATCAAAATATGTTATTTCCTTTTGTATTATTCACTTCCTTATCCACATGTCTTGGCAGATGGTGATCTTTATCTCTGAAACTAAAAAGGGCTGGGCCCACTTCTTGGATGGGAAAATGCCAAGAGACAAAGGATGGATTAGAAAATAATTTTTAAAAGCTTGAAATATAGTAGCAAATTACTTCTGCAGATTGCCATTAAAACTAAAGCAGGACATAAAAGAAGAAATATATTGATTTTAGAGAAATAATGATATAAGTCTTATAGATAGTGAAATAAGTGTATTAGCAAGAGAAAGAACAAGGAAATGTGAAATGCTAAACCACAGGATCATCTGCAGGTCACTCATATTTGTCAAGCAGGAAGCTTTGTTGCAGATAATCTTGCAACAAAACTACAAGCACACTGCCGGAAACTAGAAGCTGTGGAAATTCGCCTTTGACATAGATTAGTGAGAGGGGGAACTATTTTGCTACTGTAGCCTAGAAACAAGGGGCTGTGTTTCAAGTAAATATATGTGAGTGTAAAATCTATAGGAAGTTGTTCAGATGTTGCTTTGGCTAAATTGCATCGGAACCTTTGTGCAAATAAAACTATTTCTGATTCCAAGGTCTGAGTCTTGTAATTTCCTGCAACAAAACTGCATGATTGTATCAATTTACCAAACGTGGAGCTTGATTTCAAGGCATTTTACAGTACTTTAAAAAAAATGCCTTCCCAGAGTAATATCTAGAATATAGACAAAATAGAGTAAATTGCAAAATACATGTGCAAATACTGAGTTCTTAAAAATCCTTCCTCAGAAAAAAAGATAAGTAATGCAAAAGACAGGAAGAAAACAAAACAAAGACAGATTGGTACTGTAGTTTTAAATTCACATGGCATTTGCTGTGTTTTAAAGAGCAAATGTTTTGTGGCCAAACTACTCCATGATCAATTGTTGCTTGATGTTGCAATGTACTGTTACGCTAAATGTTGCAATGGTCAACCTTGTAAAAGTGATGGATGGACAATCTAATGTTGCCATGTGATAAAGTGCTGACTGTGTGGAAAAATACTGGCTGAAGAAACGAAAGTTATATGGGAGATAAAAGTAAGTGGCTGAGGAAACGAAAGTTATATGGGAGATAAAAGTAACTGGGCGGGGCTAAGAAGTAGGGGCGATAAGACACCAGCTATGGTATAGTTTTTGCATTAGCATAATTATGTAGAAAGCTTCTTTGTTTCTGCTATGACGTGTGCAAGTAGCCTATAAAAGGAGTACCCACCATTATTAAAGTGCCTTTTCATCCCGAGTAAACACTGTGTCCGTGTGTTTATTTATTTACCATGAGAAGGCCCAGGGCTCTGAGTTCAGACCCTGTCGTCGCCAGGAGGCAGGCAGTGAAAAGCCACAGCTTGAAATATTTATTATTTCTATATTTGTTTCTTAAAGTGATGGAAAGCTGATATCTCCCTCCCCTAACACCTTTATGTTAGAAATATATCTAAAATTTAGAAGCATATGGGCCGCTAGTGTGAAAGGATCACGAATGCTTGCTCAAGTAAAACCACAGACATATCACTGGGCAAGGCAAAGCTTGGGAAAAAGGGAATTTAGGAACTATTAATTATACTAATTATAGTATATTTTACTAATTGTTACTGGAAATTAGGGACAAATGTGCTGATTGCTGCTAGATAGTGCTGATGTTACTAAGCAATATTGGCTGAAGTATTGGTAACATGGACAAAGTGGGAGTGATCCCCCTTTTCTGTGCAAAATAAAATATTTTTTAATCTTCACCTCAGAGCTTGTTTTCATTGGCATTGCGATTTGGGCAAACCAGTTTTCTGGGATTACAAAAGCCTCTATCACCATTGTTGTTATCTATTATTCATGTGCACTGTCTGTATTTTGAAATTTAGGGTGGGAAAATTGAGCAGTTTGGAATGGAAAAAAACTCTGGCTAATGTGAAACAGATGGAAATGGAAGATATTGAAAAAGAAAATAAAGCTCAGAGAATATTAAGAATCCAACAATTCAACTCTGAACTACATATATTCCTAAATGGAAGGATTCCATTGTTCCACAGTCCACTATAAATGGAAGAATATGAGAAAATGGAAAGCAGAGCAGCTAATAAGAGGCATGAAGTAAAAAAAACAAAACTGTATAGCCTGATACATTTAGCGAGTACTGAATAAAATAAGAAATTACTGTTCTGTAGTATGGGCCAGCAACTATTAATCTTCTTGAGAACCAAAATTTGTATAGATAAAAATGAATTTGGATGTAAGATATGATTTGTTTTAAAGATGTATATTTATATTTAATTATACTGGGAAATTTTAAGATTAAGCATATTCATTACCAGTTATATAGGACTAATTGTCAATTTACCCTATTGATATTCCTTGAATTCTGATATGTGCATTTGCATCAAGAACAGAACTGAGGTACATTAAACTCAAAAGCACAAATAACTTGGTAGATGACAATCATGATGCAGCCAGTGACAGTTCTTATATGTATTGCAAACTTTCCTCTCTCTGTGTGCATCTCTGTGTGTAAACATACATACATTATATGTTATAGAACTTACACTCTGGAGGCCTCGTTTTAGTTGTTTGAATGGTAATGAAAATTCTGGAGATAAGGCAAAAACTGGAAGAAAGGGGATCCAATCCAATCCAAAAGAGATCATAAAACATTTCAAACATATATTTTAGCTAACCGAAGTAGAGAGTTTATTCAAATATTAGAGGTCTACAAAGAAAATAAAGGACTATGTTCTGGCTTTCAAGTATTTAAGGGCAACTAAAGTATTATAATACTACATAGAATATAACAGTATCTAATGACAATCTACACACTGATGTTTAAGAAGTTTTAAGATTATCTGATAAACATGAACTAAAAAAGTGGAAATGTACACCTTTATCCATAGAAGCATAGCTATACACCATGTGCATTATTAGGCAAGTGAGTATTTTGACCATATTGTTTTTTATGCATATTTTCCACCTCCAAGCTGTATAAATTTGAATTCTTAATGGATATAAGCATATCAGGTGATGTGTATTTGTGTAATGAGGGAGGGTGTTACCTGAGGAAATCAACAACCTATATCAAGGTGTACATAATTATTAGGCAGCTTCTTTTCCTCGGGCAAAATAGGCCAAAAAAAGTTAAACATTACTCTGAAAAGTCAAACATTGTAAAAATTCTTTCAGAGGGATGCAACACTCTTGAAATTGCTGAGATATTGGGGCATCAAACGTTTTGTTACAAATAGTTAACAAGGTCACAAGAAACATGTTGGGGGAAAAAAGATGCACATTAACTGCCAAAGATTTAAGAAGAATCAAACATGAACCCATTATCCTCCAGTGCTGTCATATTCCAGAACTGGAACCAGAAGTACAAGGTGTTTAATGCTCAGAGACATGGCCAAGGTACAGAAGACTGAAACGCAACCACCACTGAACAAGACACATAAGTTGAAATGGCAAGACTGGGCCAAGAAATATCTGAAGACAGATTTTTCAAAGGTTTTATGTACTAATGAGATGACAGTGACTCTTGACGGACCACATGGATGGGCCCATGGCTGGATCAATAACAGGCAGAGCCCACTTCAACTCAGATTCTAGCAAGGTGGAGGTGGTGCACTGGTATGGGCTGGTAATATTAAAGATGAGCTAGTTGGATCTTTTTGGGTTGAAGATGGACTCAAAATGAACTCCCAAACCTACTGCCAGTTTTTAGAAGACACTTTCTTCAAGCAGTGGTACAGGAAAGTGTTGTGACTGGGAGGTTTGAGCCTGCTGTGCGCTTTGAGTCTGATGTGTCAGAAGACACAGGTTCAAGTGATGAGGAGGGTTTGGCATTGGGATTTGAGCCTGCTTCAATGGGAGATGCAGACGTGAGCCAGGAAGATGAGGAAGTGTCAGAATCATCATCCTCTCCCGAACCTTCCACATCAGTTATGCCTCAGGTGTCAGCAGCTGATCCACAGAATGTGCCAGAGTCTTTGAGTGATGA